ACTACCCTATGGGACAGGAAGTTTTGCGGTCATACTTATTGGCAAAATTCCCGGCCGATGCACCAAAAACGTGCCGGCGGTTCAGTGATTTTTATATACTCCGGTTATCACGGAGTAGAATAAAGCAAGTAAATAAAGAACGTGGAGGTTACTAGTTAAACACAGAAGAATAGTAAATGAGCTTTCATCTAGTACAGAACCTACGTCTCGCCCTTGACGTTGTTAGAGGTGGAAGTGGTGCTTTTTGGTGGTCCCGCTTGATCCCGTATCATTTAAGGGGCGTGGGCTAAGTTAGGGAGTCGTTTCAGACAGTTAGGCGATGAAATAGTGAAATGAAGGGGATATTGCCGTAGATGACGATAGTACTGGTCTTTTCCTTTGCAAGCTGCCACTACCTAATCTTGTAGCATGAGATTTCTTGTTTTCCGGTGCTAAGCATGGAAACGAAGGCGAGAAATCTCGTGAGCTGGGTTTACATATGGTAGATCAGCAGAAGTGAGCCTAATAGTCGGTAGCATATACAAATGTCATGACACGAGTCTTTTTTCTTTTGCTTCAACCATATACGTTTTGCATGGTGTACTACATGTTTTTAGTCCATAGAAACTTACTGAAGATATTTTGGTCAGTTGTGGTCAGGGAAACCATGTAGCAATCTGATAGGAGCAATTATTGTAAATATGAGGAGCGACTGAGCTGGAAAGCCAATCATTCTTTTATAAAAGCCCCCAAAGGAGTTGTAGAGGCTGCAAAATGCAAATGGCTGCTTTCATAGTCCGCCGGCGTGCCGGCGTGCCGAGGTAGTGCTAGGGGGAAGAGGAAGGCAGGCGGTAGTTCGACGCGGTCGCGCCGCGCCCAAGCCCTTTCGAAGGCTGAAAACAAAGAAAAACAAGACCAAAAACCAAACAAACAGGGGCATGTGCGAATGGTTTTTGGTGTTGTTTCTCCTTGTTTTCAGCTCTTCGAAGGGGCTTGAGCGCGACGCGACCGCATCGACCGCTCGTCTGCCTACCTCCTCCCCCCTAGCACTACCTGGGCACGCAAGCACGCCGGCGGACTATGAAAGCAGCCAATGGGTTTCTATGCAGCAATAGCGCTATTTGCACACTTTTGGGCACGAGAAACTAAGACTCTAACGAGATCATTATAAAAATATTCAATAGCTGCTAAACCATAAATTAAGCATCGAGCGGAACAGCTCACTGTATCCCTGCTCAAACTTGAAGACTACGTTCTTAACTATCATTAAGCGCAGCTCCGATTTCCTGGACGATTGATAAAGAGAACCAAAATATGTGCATTGGGCAGACTCCGGAATCTCGAAACAGCGTCTGTGATCTGTGCCTCTTAAGAAGACTTTCAACTGACCAACTAAGATTCGGAATAGAGTACAGTGGATCCTGTGTGGTAATCCGCTGAGCTGATAGGTGCTGCGCCTAAGTAAGAGAGATTAATTTCAACTCCTATAGACTTAAGCGGTAGGTCCAACAGCAACGACATAGCTGTTCCTCGACTTTCCCTCCAACATAGAGAGTTCACAAAGAACAACTCTGAGCAGATAAATTGACTACACGATGGTTCGCGGAGAAGGTAACTATTTACTAATGCGGGAGGTTGCTGGCCGGGGAGAAGGATAACCTTCCGGCATCGAACTCACCATTTGGTATCTATGAAGGATAGAAAGCCTGGTGGGCCATGGCTGTTATCAAACTTGAGAGGTTGACAGATCATTCATGTGGTGTACCACTCAGAACTTAACCTTTTCCACCAACCACTAGTCTACTTCTGCACTAACGCGAAATGTTGGCCTAGCATCAATCAGTTCGTTGCTTTCAAGCGTGCGCCTTTCGTATTAACTGTCACCCATTACATGAAGGTGATCCTACCTAAAAATCTGGCGCGTCTGCGAATTCGGTGTGGGACCGCAATACCGTAACCCGCGCTCATGTGCTTAGTTGCGGCTGGCCTAAATTTCGGCCTAACGGTGGAGGCAAGGTAAGTGTCAGAGTGGTAGAACAATTACATCCCTGTTGAGGTATACTACAAATTCAAAGGAAATCTTGTTTACATAGTAGCGTAAATGTAAAGTATGAGCGCGCAGTTTCCGCAATGCATGAGATATTCGTTGCTTACAACAAGCCAATGTCAGTCTGTCTGTTTTTATCACCCTTCAATATCTGAACAATGAGGAAGATTGAGACTTCTTGTTTCAAGTTTTTGACTAATTTTGTTGTAACATTTATCCATAGGTAACATAATTTACTTTGGGATGATTTTTGAGTATTTGAGAACTTTCCCGTTTCACCTGACATATTCCCACCCCCTCCCGTTCGCTCTAAATCTAGAAAAACCCATGACACTCACTGGGGGAGAAAGTGACAGAATTTTGCGAGCCTCATCCTTGACCCTCCTTCCTCGCAAAATCATGCTCTACCAGTTGGGAACTTGGCCCGCCCTACCGCCCTAAGGGATGATTCCAAAGCAAAAATCACAGGGCAATTGCTCATTTTAGGGGAGCGGACAGATAAACAACTCTGGTTTATCGGTGGTTATCGTAAAAGTCGAGACAGTGCTCGTGAATAATCGGCGCGCTCTAGTGACGCAGCCGCGGTCTCGCAGACGCGCCAGATTTTTACGTAGCACCCATGATGGTCGCAGCAGGAAAAGCACAGAAAAAAGGGTCCTAAACGACTCTCACGGATGCATGTGTGGCGTATTCAGGCTTACACTGCTCAAACAGACGTCAAGGCAGACAAAAAAAAGACTTGGGGAACCTGACGTGACACAAGATCTGGAGCCTTACTGTGTCCTATCCTAACTGTGGTGACTAAGGGGTGTTCCATTTCCAGTCCCCACAGCAAAAATGGAGCACAGTTGAACTGCAGCCCTCCATACAAACGAGTTCTTTCACGCACCTGCATTGAGAAGTATCTCGTCAGCACTTAATGACTGTAGAAACTGATTCACAGGATTCAGTTGAGTGAGCCATCCAGAATCCACATTGTTCCTTGCCAAAAATCGAACCGCTACCTTCATGCCTGATTTCTAAAAATGTCTATTTAGACTTCTGAATATGCCGGTGTCTATTTCCTCCTTTGGGAGACAATTGAAACTTTCACAGTGACAAGAATTTAAAGGCACAGTTCAGATAATTTTGTATTATCCAGTTTATGACGAAGAATGAAAGGGAAGGTGGAGATTAGTTCGAGAGAGCAAAGGAGCACGCGAATCGGTGTTTTCAAAGTGACGAAAGGCTCGAAATAACAGGGGCTAAATGAGTATAAGTCCGTACGAAAAGTGAAGTAGAGGGGGCGTTTGGACAAGCCATACAATGTGTGTTACTGAGTACGTGTGTGTCTGACTAGAGCAATCAGAAATGTCCATTCAATACACTTAAAATCACTACAATTCCACGAAAATACGAATAGCAGCAAAGGTTACTTACATTTCTCATCCGCGTAAGGTAGCAAACAAAAAAAAGTGACCGAAACAGCAAAAAGAATAACAGAATAGGAGTAAAACATTCCCTCACCGCACGGCGATCAACTGATTGCATGCTGAACGTGTGGGTCCTGGTGCGAATAACGCAAATGTATCGTCTCGACCGTGGACATCGACGAATACGGTAATGGCGCTCATGTTATGCCCTTTCTATTGAGTTTCCGTTGAGTTCTTCATCTCGACAGCGTCTTTTGTGTAACCCTTGGAGGTCGCTGGGTAATCTCAGAAGGAAGTCGTAGGAACCATTTATGTCATGAATTGTGCGTTCAAAGAATTCATTGCCTTTCCTCTAGAAGTAGTCTACGGAACTAATCATTTTTCAGCTGCCAACGTCACACTCCTTTTTGTGTTATGAGTTTTTTTTTATCTTCCCCCAACCATCTAAGGAATATTCGTCTTGCTTCTTCGCCTCTTTTTACTTTGCAAAAGAATCGCTTCAATAAAATCGAACTCACCGCACACTGCTGTAATGGTGTAGCGATGAACTTCACGGCTCGTTGGAATTCTGCATCAGTCGTTCTATTTGAAAGGGCGAATAGATAAGTAATGTGCCAATAGTTGTTGAGACTTGGATCTGGTGTAGTCTGAAATGTAATCTTTGATGTATAGACAAATTGAGGCCAAATTTTTGTTTTAACGACAAATGATAAAATTACTCGGGCGATGTAATGAAAGTGACGGGCAGATTTCAAACTTCAGAGACCCACTAATAAAAAGTGAAGTTTTCCGAGTAACTGACTTGTCTTTGCGCTAGCGTCCTCTTACTGCAACTAATCCGCAGAGAAACCTACTGTAGAAACTGGTATTCGTTGCGGGGTAGTCGTGGTGATCCTGGGTCTTGTAGTTGGGAATGGACATTCCGTCAGCTGTTCGTTCTGGCAATCATTCGCACCTTCGGCACCACACGGTCGAATACATTTCTAAATTCTAACAATACAGCACGGGATTCGAATACTAAGAATTTGGGACCGCTCAGTCCTTTCGAAATTCCTCAAACTTGGGCTCACCAGGGAGGGGTAGTCTACTTATCTTGGAACTTTGAATGGAGACCCAGATGAATAGATGGAGTTTTGAATGCTGTTTACGAAAATGGAAATCAAAACTGCAAAATGGTTCTCCTTAAAA